ATTATCGGATCTAAACAAAATTAGTATGGGACCACCCTTGAGGTACAACCTTTCCGATGAAAAACGAATTATCGAAATCGGCTAACGTGGTCCAAAGCTATGCGGTATCATACATAAAAAAACAATATTCCGATGAACTGGTAACCTCCTCCTTTTTGTGAAGTCGGTTAATAAATTGGGTAACATTTAAGACTTAAATTGGTGAAAAGGTACCTAATTGCCATTTGGGTGCCTGTTTGAACATAGTCTAAGTGATAGCATTAAGCAATTTTTTGTATTCATTCTTATTTCGGAGCTCAATGGTAAATATACTCTTCCACTGCTAATCTTGTATGTATTTTATTTCTATCCTCAGGGAGAACTTTAACTTTTTGTGGCGTTCGTTAAGTTACATGTCATAAAAAAAAGAAATCTCGGCGTGCTAGAAAAAAACCAAAGATGTATTTTAATTTAAAATACCTAGGTATTAAAAAAAGAACATAGTTTTTAGAAGGGGAAGAAGGGTTACATTTGGCAGGCAGGTGTTTTTACAACTTTTTGTTTAAATTCCAAGAGTCAAGTCCCTTTTTTAACTACTCGATTTTATGTACAGTAATAACAGTTAATTTTTGTCCTTGTACATATGTATATTTTGCGATTTTTGGTAAATATTAAATTTTTTTATTTATTTTAGGTCACAGCACAGTTCTGCTATAAGTTCCGAATCATCAGTTAATTACCAATCGGCATCACAATCAGGGCGAGGAACCTCATTGGTAAGTAACTTTAGATATTTAAACTTGGGACGTAATAATTGTTATAAGGGAAATGATAAAAAGGTCCTATTTAAACACTAATAATGATGCATTCAAGTGTTGGCTATAATTAACCATTACTATAAGAGACACTTTATTTTGGTCACCTTGACCGTTATAAATGAGATATAATTTTTTTACTTATGAATAACCATTGTATCAACCGATCATTTTTTTGTTTAGCAATAACCCTTAACGCAATTAGCTTTTTCTGGTTATCCATAGCTATTTTGACCGTAGCAAACTTTTCTTAATATCAAGCAACAAGATTTTATACTAGCTTTGAAAGCAAAAATTAGTAAATTACTCTTGTTAGAAAGGCTTGGTTAATTTTTGAAGGTACGGCACGGCACTTTACTTTTCGCTCCGCCACCCGTGTAACATGCTCCCCGGGTACATACCGTACTTTAGATGTAACGGATGCATTTATAAATATTCGAACAACAAAAATTTGTTTATATTAACTCTATGGTACTAGTATTTATACTTTACTTTTACGAAGATAAGCAATGGCAAAGAATCGCCTGAGAGATTGTATCTAAGATCACTTAGTTCCAGTCTCCTTGCAGAGAACGCTCTTTCGACGATAACTTGAGTTGTTGTAGCATCATGAACAACGTCTGCCAATTCTTTGAGGCTCAGAATCGTATATTTTTTCTCCTCCCAATATTGCAGGATGTTGACATCAACATCAACTCTTCCCTCCCAATAGGTGTCGATTTCGACATAGGTTTTTAACAGTGGTTTTGAATACACTAAAGGGGAAGTGCTAGTATTTGACGTTTCTTCAATGAACACAATAATTTCTGAAAGAAATTGCTGGAGGAAAATGTCTATCGGTCTCAAATAGAACAAAAGTATCGTTAAAGGTATAAAGCAAAGTTTATTATCGGCCCCCACAAACCAGGTTGAATTCATTAACTTGTGTTTGCCAATTTCTTGAGGTGAACTTTCGCTTCTTACTTTTTATTTGGTGCAAGCAAAGATCGAAAGCGTGGATGGAAAAATATTGCAGCGTTAAGGACTTCGGCGTTAAGCAAATCTGACTCTCTCGCTCTTATACAGTTCAAATATTATGCCTCCATGTTTAAAGATTCCAATTTTACCTTCAACTCAAAGCAAGCTTTGTAATAAAGTATCTAGTAAAGAGTGTCTAACTCCATCGCAACCCTAGAAATACTGACTGGCACAGGTATGCTCTAAACAATTTAGCAAAACTGAGCTCATTAACCAGCCCCATATCTACAAAAGAGGATTTGGATACAGCAGTCACATACCTGACGGACACCATCATATCCTCATATAGCGAATGCTGTCCACAGAATGTAAAATCCTCAACAAATAGGGTACCTTGGTGGAACTCCAAACTAGAGAAACTGCGTAAGACGACCAAAACTCAGTTCAACAAGGCCAAGAGGACAAACACCTTGAATGACTTTAAAAAAGTCTCTCACAACATACAACAAAGAACTACGGAAATCCAAGAGAAATTCTTGGGAAAATTTCTGTGAGGACGTTAGGGACATTCCCGCTACTGCTTAGATCCAAACGTCTCTCTCTAAGGGCGAATCCAACGTCATAGGAACTCTGAAGGGATCAGATGGATCCCCTATAAACACTCTTAGGGAAACCATATAACTCCTTCTAGGGACTCACTTCCCTGACTGCAGGCTAACATCTAAGATGCAAAATACGCGCAGTATGGTAAATGCATACCAGCGAAGAGCCTTCGACCCATTGGCAATTTTTGGCGANAGGGACTCACTTCCCTGACTGCAGGCTAACATCTAAGATGCAAAATACGCACAGTATGGTAAATCCATACCAGCGAAGAGCCTTCGACCCATTTGCAATTTTTGGCGATTTTTTTCACAAATGGCTCTTTTCTTTTTAAACAATCTGGACACCCTGCTCCTGGGAGTCACATCTCAACTCTACTATCAAAAAAGCAACGAAATCGTTGTTCGTCGCTTTGTGGTCTATACTGGTGGATGAACTAGTTCAAGTCCTCAATGTGAAAGGATATCGAACCATAGGCTACGCCGAGCGCTTAAAAGCGGATTGTGCGATTAATCAATTAATATGAGTTATATTAAATTTATTAATTGCGCAGTCATATAGGGAAATGTGTTAATACTAATATTTTTTATAAGTATGAATATTTTGATGAGAATTGTTTGTGCATCACTATCATAATAGTGATTTGTGTTATTTATTATTACCCTGAAAGCATTATATTCGTTTTTGATTTTAAAAATTATGTTATAACAAGATCTAATTTTTAAAATAAAAGATTTTTTAAGCGCATTTCATGAATTTTGTAAAAAAATTGGCGATTTTTTCCACAAATGGCCTTTTTCTTTTTAAACAATCTGGACACCCTGCTCCTAGGAGTCACACCTCAACTCTATTATCAAAAAATCAACGAAATCGTTGTTTACCACGAAACAGCTCGTGGGAAAAACATGGGACCTGAATCCTAAAATGACCTTCCAGATTGATACTCAGATGGTCAAACCCATAATAGTGTATGGAGCACTCGTATGGTAGAAAAAGACCACTCAAACAACAACCATTAAAAAGCTGCAAGATCCAA